ATAATTAGTTTCAACTTTTTTCCAGTTTGATGCGGCTTTAGCAGAAATACGTAGAAAATAGGTTATTTTCATGACATTCAATTTGAAATCATATGAAAAGTAAACCGGAGACCTATATTAAATTTGATATTGATTTAAAGAAGACGCCATGAACAGACTAATTATCATTTTCTAAGAGACTGTAGGCGATCTGGATACATTTCCTTTGTCGATAATGAAAAAAACTCTCAAATTAATGACTTGTTTCTTAATTTTTCATTGAAAATGACAGTTTAAAATACAGTTTTTCATTTTGTTTACCTACAAATTATAACCCGAAACACCTTATTTGACCAAGCTAAAGTTGTAAAGCATCAATAAAGGAATTTATTTCTCAAGTTTGATAAATCTGTCGGCACCTTTCATTTACTAGATCTTGACCTTAAAGAAACTTCTGACTTAAAATTATAAAGACTTGGAGAGCTTAGTTTGTACGGTGGAAATACTCACAGCGCTAGGATACTTAATGTTTGTAGATCTAGATCCATTGTTAGTTACTTCTGAATTGTTATAAGGCATAACTAAAAGAGAGAATTGTTAAAAGTGTCAAAGAAATCTTACTTTCCTGAAACTTACCTGGAAGGCATCACGTTTCTCTTGAAACAAATAATAAAAGGGATGCCTGACATTCACTGTATTTAGTACAAATATTTTGACAAAAATTGCACTTTTTATTGAATTATTCGTCTTTTTAATTGATACATTGATTACATAATTATTTACACATTGAAAGCCTACTTGACCTATTCATATGGTCACTTTACCAATTCTTTTAATTTTTAAAACGTATATATTGTTCTTGACTCAGGCTATGTGCTATACATGCATGACCTCGAGAACATTAAAAGGACATAAAAATGTTTCCAAAAAAGAAAGATATTAGCATTTTATAATGCGAACCACACTAAGAGAGACAGATAGTCTGATGTCTTTTAAAATTATTTTTTCTTTTCCTGTGTATATATTACTGATTTCCCTCTGCATGTAACTTTGTGTTTCACTCTATTACTAGTACAAACAACATAAGGGACCAAACAAACACGAAAAAGTCTAGATAAGATTGCAATATATGTGTGCTATATACATTCATCCATAAAATATGTAAAAAAAACTTGCATGTTTTTAAAGGCGTTTACATTTCAACAGCCAGTCAAGATGTAAAAGATCTCAATGTTGAAATCTGACCCAACATCAGCTTTTTCTAAATGCATCCTCGGTAGATTTAATTTTTTTCTCAGTTTTAAATGGGTGAAAGAGCGTAATCTTAATTTTTGAATATGACAAGCCTGAATTTATTTCTTTTTTGAAAAATGTTACATCAGATGTAGATATCTAGATACCTGTTTTTAAATGTTATATTTATATCCATCATTCAAATAGTTTCATTTCAGATATATTTACTCCATCCAATAATAATGAACAATTGTAAAAAGGACATTGAAAATGTGTGGATTGATTATACAAGTGTATATTTGATTAGAAAGCATAAAAAAATAAATTGTCGTTAAATGCTTTTTGTTTTATTCAAATGGATCTGTGCGATATTATTTTGATCCTTTTATAAGTCATTATTGTGAAAAACATACTATAGGCTGAAAATTTTTTCAACGAAATATATTCATGTTATTTTATAAATTCAGTTTATTCTTTGAAAAGTTTTTGTATAGTAAGTGATTTTAATTTACCAATGATTTTACTCCACTTTTTTGAATAATTTTAAATATAGATAATGAAATTAACATACATAAAATAAATTCGGTTATGTACGTGTATTTCATATATTTTAAAGTCCGTATTTTCTATCTTTGAAAATATGAAGTGGTTGATATCCATGCCATGAAAAACAATAAAACAAAATACAATATTGTTACATTTATTGACATTTTTTTTACCATAAGGGCAACAAAGAAAAAAGTTTAATAGAATGACAAAAATATTCATTGTTATCTGAGAACATGTGTATTTTCATTGTTTAAAGGTACCTGTGTATTGATTTGTACTTTTATGAGTGATCTTTAATTCTAAGTATACTTGTAAACGTAGTATAAAATCTAACTTTTCTCTGTTAGATAATTATAAGCGCTCACTTTATTGATAATATCAAGATCATTGTTATTTCTCAGTCGAGGTACTAAACATGTAACACAATAAACATTTTACATTTGGAGGGTCTAAACGATCCATTTCCTGAAATATTTTACTTCTTTCGTGTTTTATAACGATTTTGATATCTTATATCCAATGGAAATTGTTCCTGGTACATAAAATATCACAACCTAAAGGAAAAACCTGGAAAACTTTAGATATTTCGAATATCATAATCCAAATTTCCTTTCTGCATTTTCTCTTGCAGGAGTAAGGTTCTTATCTAATTCTTTGCCAAGTCTCAGTGATTTAAAAATAGGCATTTTCGTCAATGATAGAGAGGTTTAGTAACAAGACACAAAACAACGTGTAGGCAAAAGTTCGACGTACACGTTATATATGACGTCAACGTCAATAATTCCATAAGTTATATGTACAAGTGAACATATGCAAATTTCATGACTGGAGTTACAGTAAATTTATTGAACGGCATTGTATTATTATTATTAATTCAGACAAATCAATGGTGAATTTGAATTTATAATTATTTCAGTCATAGATATCATAAACTATGGAGAAGTATAGTATGTAACTGTCATCTCAATGCAGTGAAGCGCTCTTAAAAGTTTTTCACCTATTTTATATACCTACATGACAATTCAGCTTTTCATTCTGCATCACGACCATAAAAAAATAAACTGTCGATAAAAAACGACCACATTTTGCACTTTGTTGAGGAGGGGGGGGGGGCAGAAAACCTTTTGAAAACGATGAAATGCGTAGGCTCAATCATAATAACGTCTAGAAAGGAGGCATGGAATAAAAAAATAATACATCAATACATTAACACCAAAATCAGACACTGTCTTCATTTTCTTTTTTTTTAAAGTACGCGTCTGCTCTATATCTTAACAAGTGATAGTTCAAAAGGGAAAAACATAGTTAATGTAATAACATCTCCACCAACACTTTACGCTACACATACTACCTTTAACTTATTAGGTGAGGGGTTATATTTTTATGTCACTCATGCCCGTGGATGTAATATAATAGTTCTGCAATATTAATTTGAAAAAATAAAATAAAATAGGTTTTAATAAAAACAATTTAAAGGGAAAAAAACACTCCCAAGAATTTTTATTTGGTGCTTCCTCAGATAAATCCTGCGTACAAAATAAACATGCTGTTTGGTATCAGTTTGATTGATGGATTGCATATTGTTTAACGTCCCTGTCGAGAATTTTTCACTCATTCACCACTTGCCGGTGAAGGGCTACAAATTTTGTCCTATGCTCGGCACTCAGGGCACTGAGCAGTGAGTGATCTTTTTCGTGCCAGCACCTTCTGTGACACGGGGCCTCGTTTTATACAGTCTCATCCGAAGGACCGGTTTCCACGTCCCACAGTGGGATTCGAACCCGCGACGCATGGATTGACTCCTTACTTCGAGACTTTTTTTTATTTTCTCTTCGCAAACATTGTGTCTATTTATAACTGAAAAAAAAAAAAGATTGATGCTGAATTCCTCGAATTTCAAATTATTTAAATGGTGTGATCATTTTTATGTTATTCCCTTTGTACTATATGCCATGTTGTTATTCAGTGGAATGATGCTTTGTCCCACATTTCTAACTATTGTACAGTGTATGAAATATATTGCTACAGTTAAAAAATAAAAAAAATCGTCATTTAAATGCCGTTTTACCTGTTCTCAGGGTATCAGTTAAGATGTAGATGGCTTCAATGTTGAAATCCGACCCATCATAAACTATCTCTGATTCAATGCTTTCAAGGTCATTTTCTTTTGTTAACTTTGTCATGTTGTTTTGCAGTTTAACACAAATATTTCAATGTGCAATTTTATAACAGGCGTGCATGTATTTTGGGGTTAAAGCAGCTCAGGTCGGAGTTATTTTTGAAGAATATTTGAATTATACAGTGTAACATTGTGTATGAACACAATTGACACTGTTTGGGTCATGGGAGATTTTAAGGGTGGGAAACTTTTTTTTGTCCATCTAAGTATTTCCTTCTCCGGCTGTGCTTCTAGTGTTATCTCTATAAGTATAGTGATTCTTGCAATGTCATTTTGTTCACCTGAGCAATCATTTATCTACGTGTGCTAATTTTAGTCATCCATAAAATATATTATATAAAACTTGAGTCATTTAAATCGTGTTTACGCTTCCCCATACATTCAAGATGCAAAAGATTTCGATGGTGAAATCTGACCCATCATCAGCTACTTCTTCATGCTTTCTCGCTATAATTTCTTTAAAGTTTTAAATGGGTTGAATAGCATACATGTAATCTTATTTCTAGTATCTGAAGATGAAAGGCCGGAATATGTTTCTTTGTTTATGATGTTACAACAGATATAATGTTTTTATGTGTAACATGTATATAAATAGCCATCCTTCAAATAGTTTCATTTCAGATATATTTACTTCAGTCAATTAGAACAAACTGAAGGAAAAAAATATATATATATTTCGTGCAATCATGAAAAATTTCAGTCCATTTTAGATTAAAAGATCATGAGTACGAAAAAAGTGTGTTATCCCCCTCGATGAAGTTATATTGAAAAGCTGAAATGTTTTTCAGACAATTCAAAATTGGAAATATATGATTAAATTCAATTTTTATGCAATATGAATGGAAAAAAGTTGAATTATTTTTTTTTCTTCAGATAGATGGTCCATGATCTCCTGGCAAATATCAATTTGAATTACGATATTTATCAATAGCGTAATTCAAATTGATATTTGCCAGGATATCATGAACCATATAAAAAATATTATTTATGTCTTCTAATGCTTATAGGCAAGATCACCGCAGCTTGTTTTTGCTAATTTTGTAAAAGTCAAATAAAACACTTTCATGTTGATGAATAATGTCATTTATTAAAATGACGATATAAATGTGAACAATTTAACAAACAAGAAGGGGGATCAGATTCACAAGCTTTGCTTATCAGTTACGTAAAATATGATAATGTCTGATCCCCCAAAAATGACTAGAAAAAAGTATCTGTAAGACAAGACAATCAAAACATCATATTAAAAAGTTAGCAAATAGATGGCACATCAAAACAAAATAGGCCACAAGATGTGATATGCAGGTCACATCCATGTAAAATGTGACATGTAAATCACATCCGTGCCATCCAAGGTGAGCTTGCACACATCAAATCTATATGAAGGCAGTTAATCACTGGCCTCTCCACACATTTCAACTTAAAGTAATGAAATGAAAAATAAAAATCTACCTTTCATTAATTATTCCGTTACCAGTTATCACGAAAATGTAGTTACATGTCATATAATGAAGGAAATACCTGTATTAACATAATATCCGAGCAATGTTAGTAAATAACGATATTGAGTAATACATGTAAGTATGGAAGAAAACTAATTTCAGAGTAATTAAATGACAAATCGAAAAGTATTGTTTATTGAGCCAGCAAGTAACGAAGTCAGATGAGGAGTATTTAGATATCCAACAGCAGTTATTCACCGACCTGTCAATGTGGGAATGAACATGTTCCTTAAGGTATTTTCAATTGTAAGAGTAGAACAAAACAGCAGTTAAATAACTGACCTGTATTTACATTACATCTTTAGTGAGTATCAAAATATTTATCGCGAGTATAACAAAACAGCAGTTAAATCACTGACCTGCATTTAAATTACATCCTAATGTCCAACTAATTTTCACGCGTAGAACAAAACAGCAGTTAAATCACTGACCTGTATTTAAATACATCCTAGTATCTAACTATTTATCATGAATAGAACAGAATTGCAGTTAAACACTGACTCGCAATTAAACTACATTCTAGAATCGGACTAATGGGAGTAGAACAAAAAAAGCCATTAAATGCTAGATATTTATTAATATTATTATTTTTTTTTTTTTATTATTATTTATTTATTTATTTACATATGTATTTATTTATTTTTTTTTTTAAGAAGAACAAAACAATAATTACCATTGACCAATATTTGGTCTTCACTCTTGTATGTTACAGATTATGTGAACTTATTAAGTTTAAGTGATTTTAAGCAAATATATATATGCCATGCATTTGAACTGTTGTCCTTCAAAATCCTAATAGAGATTTCTGAACAGTTTGTCTGTGTCTCATGAGTAGCTTACCATATACACATTTGCAAAAGATCCAGACTTACAGATTTCCCTGCTTTGAAAAATTATTATATTATGCTAGCGGCCGGGGGCTACATGTATCTATCGAGAGCATGCATATTTCCAGATCTGTCCCTGACAATGACAATGTGAAACATATCTTAATGAATTATCTAAATGGTGTGTAGCACTTTGTTAATTTAGTAGTTTCAATTATTATCAGGATTAATGGTTGAGATCTATTATGTCAACAAACTTAAATTTTGACAAATTCAACCTAGTGATGAGTGAGAATGCTTTTAGTATAAGAAGTATTTTATTCATAATATACAAAGTGTACAATATGAATATGGATTGAACAGCAGGCCAAGGGCCTGTATTAGTTCTCTCCTTTTGAGATCAAGGTACAATAAAATTACTGTACATACTTAAGTTCCACAAAACATGTAAGATAAATTGATATTGAGAGAATTATGAAAAATACATGATTGAAGAAGATTATACTAAGTTCACCATGTAATATTGTGTCAATTGAAAAGTCGGTTCTAAAGTTTAGAATTTATTGTAAGTCCAAAAATCTAAATTTCACAAATATGATTTGGAACAAATTTCGTAGATAGACTACAAAACTGAATAACACAAGAATGTTCCTAGATTGCCTTCCTTACAAACTCACAAATCTGTTCTTGACAACTCTGCCTACTTTCATACTGACCGGCCAATTAAAATTAAGGATAGAAAATGTCATGAACATAGGGAATCTGTAAGACATTAATTTACCACACTGAAATTAGGTAGAGCGAAGCATAGCAAATTCAAAGAACGCAATCCTAGGATGTAACCATAAATTTGATAACAAGATTGAGTTAATAACATTGCTATCGTCAGACAGGAAAGAGATGTCAAGAATGAAATACTGCCACTATGTGCAAAAATGCCTTTCCTAAATATCAAAAGAAAACGATTATCTTTCAACTACAGATGTCAAACAAGACCGAAAATTAATAGAATTTTCATATAAAAATATGTTGGAGAAAATTTTACATGGGGTTAATTAAAGCAAATTAATATTTAAAGATAAAGACCACAGAAACGTACAATGTACAACATGAGCTAGTAACTCCAAACAATGTCTAACATTATGCTGTCTATTAGAAACTTTTTAAAATAATTTTATCATTATTATTATTATTATTGTATTCTAGCCTGGCAATGCTTAATTTCCGAAAAGGGACGCAAATTGAAAAACCTTTCATTTAATTTACTGACCGTGCATGAGGTCTGTACTAATTTATAAAAATAAATTAAACCTATATTTACCAGCTATATAGGGAACTTATTTGAATTTTTATGGAGGGGGGATCTTCCTATATTATTTACTTGCTGACTCGCCTGTAAATGTTTTATTTGAAACCAAATTGAATGATCTAGCTGGTATGAATGCTTTGTGAACCAACGGTAGTGGATATCCTGGTTACACGGCTGATTTGGGGCACACCTGTAGCAGCACTGCAGCAGTTTAGCTAGCAAACATATGAATCTTATACCGGCTGATCGCATGAAAGTTGTTGGTAAAGTCAAATTGTATCTGGAATAACACTAGTGGACGGGCTGGTTTAAGACATTATCCACCGGTGGCGCGGATCTTATGCAATTTGTTAGATAAAACAGCTCGCTAAGTCAGTATTTGTTAAACAGTTCAAACCCGTATCAATAACATTAGATTCATGGCATCCGGCACAATTCTGCTGGGCTCTCTGGGCTATTAGCAGTTATAGCTACGCTTCCTCTAAACTCGGGCTGCTAGGATGTAGCAAATATGCACACTGGCAAATTCATCAAAAGGCATCTGCAACTTAAACATGAAAATTATATGAATACTTTTTAAGTCTAAGGTGTCATTTAAAGAAAGGACGCCAAAAACCAATAACTGAGTTGTAAACAAAGTGATACATCATGTACATTATCATGCTCATAGAAAAACTAAATGTAACAACCTTGAACAGAAAGAGTAAACTTTTTCCTGTAGACTAACCTTGATAGCAGTATATATTGTATTACAATCATACTGATAATAATCGATTAATTCCCTGCTGAGAGGATTCGCTTTGACGAAATTCTACATGTTCCGGGATTCTACCAATTTCATCAAACGAAATATTAAAGAATAAATCTATTAACTCCATAACAAAAGATAAAAATGTCACATGTATAGGAGATACCACTATTTGTAACACGTACTTTGTAACAACTAAGAACTATTGTGATACTCTTACTTGAAATTGACTGCAATCAACATGAAATGAAGTTGCCATTATGTTTAGATGTAATAGGGCATATATACTTTAAAACAAAACAGTGAAAATATGGATAACTTCGACCCATATGCATACATATAAACTCCGCACAAAACATGAAGATCAAGCGTACGGGTAACTCTAAACTAAATGAAATCCTGCTACATTAGACGCAAATGTCATAATGTGCAAACAAATACATAACTGCCTCTTATTGGCATATATGTAAAATCTACAAGTATACTAGGAACAAACTCCTTTAACATAGGTATGCCAATGCATAACGAATTTAAGCCATTGATCTTGGTAAGTTTCATTTCTTCGACCACAGTCCATGTCGTGTTAACTTAAAAAATCTCCAAATCAAAAAATCTAACACGACATAAACTGTTACTGGTACAAAGAAACCCTTAGCCTTGTACTTATCTTATACACGTGGATAGGTACAAATAAATAATGAACCCTAGACTCCCACACAATAAGAACATATATGCGGCCTACTCTGTACTATTGCTAAACACCGTGGGTAGGCACATTTAAACTTTGTACCAAAAACTCCCACACAATAAGTACATGTATGCGGCCTACTCTGTTCTATTGTCAAACACCGTGGGTAGGCACAGATAAACTTTGTACCAAAAACTCCCACACAATAAGTACATATATGCGGCCTACTCTGTACTATTGTCAAACAACGTGGGTAGGCACAGATAAACTTGTACCCAAAACTCCCACACAATAAGTACATGTATGCGGCCTACTCTGCACTATTGTTAAAAACCGTGGGTAGGCAGGCACAGATAAACTTTGTACCAAAAACTCCCACACAATTAGTACATATATGCGGCCTACTCTGTACTATTGTTAAACACCGTGGGTAGGCACAGATCAACTTTGTACCCAAAAACTCCCACACAATAAGTACATATATGCAGCCTACTCTGTACTATTGTCAAACAACGTGGGTAGGTTCATATATAAATTTATACCCCTACAAGTCCACACGATAAGTACATTAGGCCGAAATCATTTCGATTCAATAATAAACAAACTTGTGAACTAAACAAAAAACTCTGTACCGTAGCTCCATTTTATCCAGATTATAAATTTGGGAAACTGATTCATATGGTAAATCTTAATCCGTATAACCGTGTCTAAATGAATAATTTCTACATAAGACCGAAACCACTGTCATTAGAAGATTAGAAGAACCGAACAAATGTACAAATTCTATAATTTACACAGAAACGCGAGCTAACAAAAACTTGCTGTGTAATTTTTAATAATTCAAAAATATTAAATTGCTTGACTTTAAAATTCAATCCTTGCTTTTAATCAACAGAATTTGCTGACAAGCTTTATCTATATAATCTTTCCTATTCATAGACTTCTCAAAGCATACGCAACACGTTGTGCAATAAAATGATTAAGAATACGATACTGGCCTTATTATTAAGACGACTGAATTATCTGCATTCCTATACAACGAAACCACGTCCGCATTGGCTGGTCGTGCAAGGGGGTGCAGCACAGATGTACACCAACTCGACTTGGTAGCTCAGGTTCATCCTGAAACTTCTGTGGCTCCAAAAGTGAACCCTGACAAAGACCGTCATGATCTCCAGCTGCGCATTTGTTTTCCATCAACGCCATCCTGCAGATACTGCCTTTGATGAATATTATCACAACTTCTCGCCAAACAAATCCGTGTCTCCATTGATATAAATGTGTTCAGTTTTAGTCGTTTAGTTTAACAAACAACAAAAATCAGAAATCACGCGCATTATGTGGGTATATGGAAATCTCTGTCCTTTAATTAACGAACGAATGCCGGTTCAAAACACAACACAAAGTTAATAAAGTCCAATCATCAGAAAAATATACTCCACATGACTCCACATAGGCATTGCAAAATCTGCACATGTGAATAACACGCACGTCTATCACAAATTGTGGACAACACCCTCGGTTAAGTAAACAAAAAATAATCTCAAACAGCACAAATCTTGCAAATTGTGACAATAATCAACAAATGATGGAATAAGAAAGCACTTCTCTTGGCTGACTATAACGATCACAAAAAATTGTGATTTCTTCAAAATAGACGTGCTTCATGTTAGCGGTGGTGAGCGCGCGAGTGTGAATGACTCGCTGAGCTAACCACGTGACCTTACACAATCCCTCAGGCAAGGCGTGGATCTGAGAATTTTCACAATTTACCAACGTAAATGTTTCTGGAAACCTCCAAACAAATTATCGCATTAAATACATAAATACAATTATTATTCTAATAATTGTTGTTATACTGTAGAATCGCATACATGTATTTCCGAGGGGTCAAGTAAAGTTTTAGAGTTTTGAGAGGAATATATTGGTTCAAGGGTATTTAAGTTCATGGTTTGAAAGATATGCAGTAGTATTTTACATTTCGTGGTGATAATAAATTCGTGGATTTTTCCATATCCCGAAAACACCGAAAATTAAACCCCACAAAAATTAGTGATTTCACAGAACACCGAAAACTGAAATGTTTGATAACTACTTGATTACATGTACATATCGTCCCTCTCATGTTTTCACATATATAGAGACGTCATCACTTGACTGTGGTGAGATACTAGTAATTGTCGAAAAATGACTTTTGATAATTAGGACATGCTCTTACATGTATTCTTGCTTAGAAAAAAAATTGTGGCATCTCAAAACGAGCTTATATTTTTGAGAGGGACTTTAACCTTATATAACATCAATCATTCTTGTATATACACTTTTAAATACATATACATTAATTTTATTTTATCTGTTAAGGATGCTTATTCAGGTACACTATAAATCTTATGCATTGTGAAGTTCAAACAATGAAACGTACGTTTTTTTTTAATTTATTTTTTGCGTTTATAGTGCATTGTTCTGCTTTTGATGGATAATAAATAGTACGCCAAACGCCGGTAACGGAAAGATCAATACACAATTCTCTAAGCACATGTCATAAGCAGTCAATCAGGTAAGAAACTAATACATAATTTGAAGATATTTTCCAATCAGTGGTGTAATCTTTGTATTCTAGGACACCCTGTAAAACGCGTGTTTTACCTTCGTTTTGAGTATCAGATCAATTATTAGTACATTCTGTATATCTAATGACATCTAATTTGTATAAATAAAAATAACCTATTAGAGAGATTATAATTTACATTTGTATTTTCATTTACGTTTCCCGTTTTGAATTTTTTTTGCAAACGATCAGCATATGCATTTGCTGGGCGCTTACTTACATGTTTTAACATGTAGCACAAAAAGGGAGAGGGGTCGTACTGAATATCAAATTAAACCTGAAAGTCGAATGGATGATTCTTTTACGTTTAATGCTCCAAATTCCATAATAATATAACTTTCAATTTAATTTTCACACGTATGGATTTATCTAAGAGAAGCAATAAACATTAAAAAGTGCATAATTTTGACGTTTGTTCATGAGTGTGAAAAACAATGCAATGTTAATGACATCCAAAATGTATATCATATATTTTAATTCATTAAAAAAAGCATAGAAATTCTCTTAGATTCGAACAAATATAAACAAAAAAGATTCAGAAAAAACAGAAAAAAAATTAAAAAATGAAACAAAGTTGTCTTTGAGAAAAAATAAAATAAAAACAGCTATACGAGAGACCATTTTAAAAGAAAATGTCCCCTCTTGACCAGTTGATCTAGTGAAGAAAAAAAAAGTTATGAATCAAAATTTTCTTACCTGAAGGATACATTTTATACAATTTTTTTCATTAATTAATAACTTCTTCTTATCGTTAAAAAAAAAGCCGTTCTTTCTTCCCAAAGAGCCTAAGTCAAAAAGTACACAATTTGGACTGATTTCAAAATAAGACAATTTTTGCTCTGGATATATCTACAGACTATATATTTTTTTAAAAAACAAATTTCTTTTTTCAATATCCCTTTCATATTTTCCGTAAGAGGTCTTTAAAATAGCATATGTATATGGCCGAATTTCGTACATTTTACGGAACGTCATAATGACGTGAATTTTAATACTTCTTAGTTTTCATAAAAAAGTGGTAAATTATTTATAAATTGATGAGAATTTCATAAAAAATGTATTTTACAATAAATTACAGATAGTGCTATGATATTTTGTTAATAAAAGGTAACTTAATTTGAAATTAAAACGTCGGATAAACTAGTTAAAAAACTTAGGCCTAGGTTTATGTACAAGTGAAAATGTCCGTTCAGCGCCCGTGTGCTTATCGCAGTACACGTAAATAATTAGATACGTTGGAACGTTTCATTGTTTGACATTGATAATGTTGTTAAATAATAAATTCATTAATAATTTACACAAACTTTATGCATTTGAAATTTCTTTATCCATTTGGTATTTCTATCAACCTGTATATATAAAGATATATAAAGCCAAGAACAGGGGAGGGGGGTTAAATGTTAAAATGATAATAGTACCACTTATAGCGTATAGAACACTGCGTATAATGTTTATTCCTCCTATGTAAGACAGTTTCGGCATTCCATACGCATTCTCCAACAAAGAAGACCCCTCAAGAATTTTACGCATGGACTTGTGAATTTATTCTTTTCGCCAAAGTAATCACCCTCATCACGATCATCAATTGCAGAGTTTTTAGAAGAAATAATAAATGGATTTATTTTAGATAATCTATACAGTGTGTTTATTGACAATCATGCACTATATAGACAGGGTTATGAAGTTTCATTTTTCCCTGTCATCTTTCTACTTTTCTACTTTTTCAAATATTTTCGACACCTGTATATTTTTGAGTAATACCTATGTTTCGGTGAACGAATACTTCCGAAAGCAGCATTAACAAACTTCTCATGCAAGAACGCCGCTTAACCAGAGGCAAATCCAGGGCCGGCGCCTCGGGTGTGCGCCCTTCCCCCAAAATATAACACATTAATTTATTTAAATCAGGTTTCCTTATTTTGTGTGTGTGAGGGTGTGTGTTTTTGTGAATTCAACCCTAGGGCAGGGTGCCCCTAATTTTATTTATCTTGAATTATCCCTTACTTCCCAATCTTTCGAAATATCACGATTTGCAATTGATTCAGGGACAGGGCTGTCCTGAAAGACTTCTAGAAGAAAACTTCCAGATGTCACTTTTTTCGGGAAATTTTTCTCTCCTATTTATGTCATTTTTTGTCAAAGTGAATACATCCTATGATGAGCGATGTCGGAAACTACTCTTTTTAACATATCATATTTTCATAATTATACACAGAACAAATTAAAAAATTCCTCTTTTTTGAGATTATTCTGATTATAAATTGATACATTTAATTTTATGTAAAGGCCGGGTAAATATTAAAGTATTCCTATTACATATGTTGCCCTTTTAACATGATGCTTTTTAGTACTCGTAATGATTGTATAGCATTTTTATATGTGAAATAGAAAACAGAGTGGGTTATTAGTTACATAGTCTTTTAGTGACAGGGTATGGGATTATATCTGGTTAGTAAATTTCATACCTGGCGAGGCGGAGCCGAAATCCACAGGCCGTATATTGTACTTTCTGACGTTTGTTTTTCATGGAGACGGGAGAGGGTGACGATGATTTATGTTTAAAGTTAACTAGCCTATTTCCTTATTTACAATACACTACGGTAAAGAAGATATAAGACTAGGACAACAATTAGGAATGCGATAAATGTAGAAACAACTCCAGCAATGACTGATGTGTCCTCATCACCTGCCTGGTACATGTAGCCATGGGTATTGTTTGGTGATTCTGTTCTAAATACTGTATGTGTACGACATAATTTGGTGTTTTCAAAATTAAGCTTAAGGATTGGATAAGGAGTTGTTGGCGTAATCCTGAATAAGTGCTACATATGTTCGTGCCGTGTATGCTATTTATGAATGAATTCTTAGCGGTATTCATGAATAAGTGCAGCCTCGTCTGCGCCAAAGCCGCTAAAATATGAAATCCTGTATTTTAAGTACATATGCAGTATATCATTAAATAGTTCAAAGAGGAATTTCTTTGTGCTCTTATTATTTTTTTTTATGAATTCAATTCTGCCCAGCAGTATTACATACATGTATAATAAATAAATGAAATAAGTGAAATAAATCATAAATAGATAAATGAAATAAATAAATTGCCATTGATATGTCTTAGGGAAGGATAAAAAAGGATGAAAATGTCTTTGACATTGAATGTATTGAACGATTTTCATTTGCAAAGTATAATCATATTTCTGGATTAATTTCTAAGCTGGGTGAATCTGAAATATTGTGTCAAAAATGTTTTAGCTAATATATCTCTTTAGCTGATTCATATTATATTTTTAATATGAAAAAAGTTATAAATTACACTTGAACACTTTATTCATATTGTTGGGTTCTAGTGGTCAACCACTAAGAAATGTTGAGCAGTCTAGATCGTCCAAGTGTCCAGCAGGAAGTAGAATAGTAATCAGAGTTGACTATAATTTAATTATGTGGGACAGGCTTACTCAATTTCTCTGTACTTGCCAATACTTCCTTGAAAACAAAATTCAGCAATTGAAGATCTTTCAAAGTTACTTACATACGTGTAGAGGTTCCTTACAATCGTTTAAACTGGACACTAAAAAATAATGCCTTTGTTTAGACACGAAGTGACTTTTTGGGTCATGACGTCACTGACTTGAACCATAGGAATCGGAACCTTGGGGGCTAGGGGGAGGGGGCTTCGACCCCCTCTTGTTTCCAAAGATATACTTAGTATAGACGTTAAACATTGTTTGGGATGTTTACACCCCCCCCCCCCCACACACCCCCTCTTGTTTCCAAAGATATACTTAGTATAGACGTTAAACATTGTTTGGGATGTTTACCAACCTCCCCCCCCACACACACACACTTACCACAGACATGTCGCAGTGTATGTTAAAAATGGAGGAAATGGTGGTGTTTGGAAAAAAAATGGTAGCCAAGTTCGAAGCTAATACCCCCCTTTCCTTTTTTTGCTAATCAGATTTTTTTTGATGGTATAGAATTCTTTTTACAATTACCCCCCCCCCCCCGCCGCCCTCAATTTTTCAATTTGCTTCTGACCCTAATGTGAACTACGTAACTATATATTTCCTAGAAAATAAATGTCTAATAAATTAATTGTTTTACTCAACCAAAAACTATTATGAACTTTTTTTTCATTAAAACTGCTTTACTTTATTAATAACTGCCTTCTCATTACAAAATAAAAACATTCTCAGCTTACATCTATTTACTGAATGAGGCTTTTTTTACAATAGCTAGAACCCCATGTAAAAATATACTTGGACGCTTAATCATAAAAAAAAAATGGTATACCAAAACACCCTCTCCCTCGATCTATATACAGGTCTGGACGATTTCTAAATATGGAAGTCAAGAACGATAACTGAAAGTTACTATAAATATACAACATGTACACGTAATTATTTTTCTGTCCAATCAGACAACAGCATTTTTACACACCCCAAAACATATTTTAAAAGAACAAAGAGATATCACTTGCTTTTATTTTTTCCTCAAAAATATTTTTTTTAACAAAAAACATTTAGAAGTAAGATAAAACTTATGAAGAATACGGTATTCCCCACCTATTTACCGTGAAGAACATTGACATTTTTATCTCGATAACGAAATTAAAAAAATGCATGATACAATGTAAACGTTTACGGAGGAATAAATCACACTAGCAAGTCCTTATCAAGTTCAATTAAAAAAATTGACAAGAATAAACTATATGTTGGAATAAAATTTTGTTTAGCCGTCCGATTTTCATCGATAATGCTTGAATTTCATGTCTATAGATCCACTTGACACTTGTAAGTGTTTATCGTATGGACTATATAGTTTTAAAATATCACGGGTTTCATGAGAGCAGAATGTTTATTACCCTATTCCGCCTTACGGCACCAATAAGAAAAGACGTAAAACACGGAGTAAAGAGAATACCGTAATTACATGTATACATGAATGCGACTTATCCCAATATCTTACCTCGCATATGAGAAACTGCATATTGTCATTGCCGATTTTGTAATAAACAGTCAGTAAAAATTAAGACAAGCATCCATTCAATAAGACGTTTATGTCAGGCTAAAAAAACTTTAAAATTTCCGTATATTTATATCAAAATTTTAACGATATATTAACTTTTGGGATTCCTATCTCCTATGGTAACAGATTTTTACACTTAAAACGTGTTCTATGCTTAAGAGTCGTGTTTGTTCGAGGTAGAATTGTCATAAATATTATATTATTCTTAAATTTGCATAAATTTTACAAAGAGTTTGTTCTAAAAAATCTTTTGAGCAAAAAACTTTAAAACCACGTGTTTTGTACATTTTTTTCATGGGTTTGTCTAAATGCTATTATCTGTTTGGTCAGAAGGACTAGCACCTTGTTTATCCTGTGTATTTATAGCAGTTCACTGTTATCGCTCTGGACTTCACTATATAGAAATCGTCCAGACCTTACACAAAATCAGGAATTTTTCACATAAATGCTTAAAATATCTAGAGATGTTCATTGATAAAATGAAACGAAATTTATGAAATGAATTGTGAATATTTATTTTAAAAAGATAACAATAAACATTTAAATCATTCACAGTTTTATAGGCTAAACCATAAAATATCTAAATACATGTACATGTATTTAATAGTGTTTGTTTGAATATTTCTACGGATGGTGCAGGATTTATTCTCTGATATTACTCTATACTGGCAGTATCAAAATATAAATTATTGTTTTCCCTTTTTACCTACTGCAATTTAAATAAAAAAAAATCTCGACTCAATCTTGATAGAATAATAAACATGCCCAAATATAAACATTTTATCTGCAATCTCAACAGAAGGCAGTGTACGTACCTGCAAAATGGAAACTAAAATGTCCGCTCTTTAAAAAAAAGTCAAGCAGTAGTTAAATAAAGGCTTTGAAATCATGCAATATATACTGTACATATATTGAAAACTGTATAAGGCAAAAAAGTCATTGAAACTGTACAAATGATTAGCTAAAGGACAAACTATGATGAACATATTATATCATAACAAATACATAGTTAATAACAAATATCAAATAAAACATTTTATGAACTTTAGGATGAAAAACAAATATAATGATAACATACATTATAACCTGGTCAGTTTTCAAAGATTTCGTATAGTTTTAGCCTTATAGCTGTAGGCTTTTGTTTCCCCCCCATAAATGTTAGACAATATATCGAAGTAACAAATGTTGAACAGTTTTTTTTAATACATAATACATGTATAGTCAACTTTATATTTTTCATGGAGACTGTCTTTTTCCCTTCGGAATATTTCCTGTCCTTTATGCCACATCACCAATGTTGTTCAAAGATTCATTAGAATGACTAGGCAATTTCGAATCCGTGCTTTTGCATTTAACTGATTCATCCTTGTCATAGAAACATTCCAGATAATCTCGTTGCTCTTCAATGACTGTTTCGTCCTCTTTCTTAGACTCGTCAGGCAAAACTGATATGTAGCTGTTTCTTCTTTTAAACATCGGTTTTTGATATTCATCAACAGAAAACCCATCTTTACTAAAATTTCTTAATTCCGTGTCATCACTGGTGATTTCTGCTTTGATACTTGAGCGAATTGCCAACTTCGTTTCTTTTTCGTCATCTGGTCCCAAGCTGTTTTTAAGACTAAGCAATGATTCTCTATTTGTCTGATCCCCATCACCCTGTTCAGTTATCTCACTAATGTGATATTCATTTCTACGATTGCTGATGTTGGGTCCCGTTCTTTCAACATTAATAAAAAGAGGTTGAACTGTAGCGTTTGGGTGATATCTGTTTATGAGCCTAGGATGAAGTATGTATTCTGCGTATGAGGGGACATAATGATTGCTCATAATGTCCATATTGTGGATTTCCTCGTATATCTCTGATTGAGTTTGGGTTGTTGGTGCTGATTTACTTGTTTTCTTGCTTCGACAATAAAAGAAAATAAGTGTAGGAACCAGAAATACCAGAATTGTTGACACCACAGCAATTATAATGGTCGAAGTCCGTGAAAAAAATATTTGTTCTAAAATGAAAATAAAAGTACTTTCACAAAAAATCATCTGTAAGTTCTGTATGCAGAATAGTAAATGCAGTAGACTTTCGATTATTTCCGAGTATACACTATATAGAGAGAAAATAAAAGATGAAAGTTTCCATTTTTAAAGAGGTATACAGAGAAGAAAAAGAGGTGGAGTTCATTGAAAGATAACTGTATCATCAATTTTCCCTCGGATGGAAATGTCGCACTTCTATATTTTTTATTGCAAAAGGAGTATCATGTTCTTAATTTTGAATTCACAACTTGGAGCTCAAGGTAAATACAAAATTGTCCACTTTTGTAAATCTTGCATTAACTTTAACTTACTTCTTCTTAGTTTACAGAAGGATGTGTGATTAAATGACTGCTATATTTCGTTTTCTTATTACATATCTAAAACACGTCAAAGAGACTTTCTAGCACCTTTTTTCCGTTTGGTACAAATGCACTCACCACAAAAACACCACTACTTTCTCTTAAGGTGGAATGCCATACCAACTTTTTATTTTATAGATCTTTGAGTCATCCTTTTAAAACAGGCTTTGAGCATTGAAAGTTCGATGTTAGCTCTCAAATATTTTATATGAATTTTTTTTATGTTTTTTTTTTCAAAGAAAAAGAAAAAATTAATTACATCTAACTAAGATGTTTTCGAGTTAAAAGTTTGCTATAAATGATTATATCATATTTATATTTTAAAAAAATATGTAAAGAAAAGCTGGTTAGACTTTTTGATTTTTTTAATAAAAAAATATTTATGAAAATAACTCATTATTTGTGAATATTTTTTAAACATATGGTTTAAATCACCATCAAACTAGCCACAACTGAGTACAACATGTATGTCAATCATATTTTTAAAAGAAATTGAAATGAAATTGAAAAATTTTAGAGAAATTATTTTTTTTAATATTTGGACCTAACCCGATCAAAATTAAACTGATCCCGATCAAAATTAATACAAAATTAAAATAAATGCTAATTTACTGCCTGTTCATGTATTAACAATGAAGAAATCTATTTTATCGTCAGGTTCATTAATGTTTTAATCCTTATTACACTTAATCTAACTAGTGTTCTTAGGGAAATATATTTATTTCCAATAAAATTTGGCCATTTCGTTTCAATTTCTTTTATAAATATGATTAAAGAACACGTTTTCCCCAGTTGTGACTGGTTTTCTGAAGATTTTAACCACAACTTTAAAAAATATTCATAAATGGTGTGTTTTATTTTCATAAATATTTTTTTTATTTAAAAAAAATAATATCTATACAGCTTTTCTACACATATTTTATTAGATATTAATGTGATGCATTCATTTACAGCGAAATTTTAACAAGAAAACGTCTTATTTTGATGGAAATATTTTTTTTCATTTTCTTTGAAAAAATACAAAAAAATCATAAAAAATAATTGAGAGCTAATGTCGGCCTTTCAATGCTGAAACCATTGTTTAAAAAGGTTGACTCACAGATCTATAAAATAAAAATTTGGTGTAGCATTCCTCCTTAAACACACACATATATTCTCTCTCTCTCTCTCATACACAAATTCTCATACACTTTCATACTAGCACTCATTTTCCTGTATTTTGATTTGAAAATCTTTCATGTTATTGCACAATCATATAGAAATACAAGAGCGAGAGACCTTTTCTTTTTTAACAAGATTTGTTTCTAGTTTGCTATAGTAACTTTCTAATCCCCCAACCTTGATGATCGTTGTTACGAGTCAGATTTGCGTTAATGTCTTTTTTTTTTCTCCAGAAAATGAATAACTAATCTAAATTTTCTTTCCTAGTGTCAAGAGATATTCTAACAGCAAACTGATCTATAACAGATAAACCCTTGAATTATTTACTTTATTGGGGTCAATGTTCGCGGGGTTTAAATTTTGTTGGATGCTTGTAAATACAATAGTTCAATGAATTAACAGATTTACAATATAAACTTTCGTGGGGATGTACGTTTGTGGGTAGGGGTGACCCATGAAATCTACGAACATTAGTCCCCCACGAACATTGAGGATTCTACACTAGTCCGGCTATGCCTCGCCGTCTGTAAGATTCTTCAACTTGATATACATGTATGCATGTATACTGTCAGTTAAAAAATAATAGATCTATTGTTATGGCGTAATTTATATACTACAGTGTATATACGCATTCTATAGACCTGTTGATCATAACCCTCAAATTGCTTTTCCTGTCTATTTAAAACATTTGTGGATTGTGTTTACGTTTGATTCAAAATCCGAATCCTATTATTAAAAAAATATAATTACACATATCAATCTACTATTTACATGTAACACAATTTGTAAGGACTATGAAATAATCTTTTTTATTATTCCTTACGAAAAAAAGTTCTTTTTTAATTAATTTTTATTTTGGTATGGAAAATATACATCAGCTATCGGCAAAAGAAAATTTATTCGTTATTTTTTTTTACCACTGCATGGCTGAATGTTACATGTCGTTGTTTCTGTGGACGTGCTCTGACCAACACACTGTTTACCACCATCAAATGGGGCTGGTATAGAACAAGTTCGGATTCTTACACGTGTTTTGGTTCCATTGTTGCAAGATGAAGAACACTGACTCCAGTCACCATATGGAACAAATGACGACCATTGGCCATTTACTACAAAGATATGATAAAAACCATTCATAGGGCCGGTCTGAACAGCTCGCATTGCAATTCACCGAATTATACCTTATTTGGAATTAATTTTGAAATTCTGAAAGCTAGAACCCTAATGATTTTTTCAAAATAAAATACTTTTTATAAGTTAAATACAAACAATTATAGCATGGGCTGTGGGGCAAATTTGGATAAAAAAGACACTTCAACTTGGCAAATCTATAAAGAAATGAAAGGCATTCATGTCATTAAGAGTAATCTATCTTATCAGAGTTTCAATGAATCTAAACGTAGCTACGGATAGCGATCACGTGACATTGCATGTGAATTCTAAATTAAGAATTTTTCGGTTCGCTTATCTGGAAATGCGCATAGTTCAATATGGTGGACAACGTGCTCCGAGAAAAGTACACGGGAAACGTTATAGGAAGGCTCTGCGGTAAAGGTAGATCAAGTAAATTAGAGCGAATGAAAGAATAATAACATTTTAAGAAACAGGACAACACTAAAACTTTTTTACAAAATAAAATATCCGTACATCGCAAACGACTTGCACCCCTATTCCAAAGCAGACGACGCAGCTGGTGTGAATCATAAAATGACATCAAATCGAAGGAAGGACGAAGATTTGCTGAAATGAGGAACTTGACAAACCAGTTTATATGCTTACAGTCACAGTGATAACGGCAATCGTTTGTATCTTTTCCAACTTTGAAAGCGATGGTGACCCGGTACTTTATTGTATCAATACATTTACAGGCCTAAATGTGACTGAAAGTGCTGTACTATTTATGGGTTTACCAACACTTTCCAGGGGAAAGCCCGGCCCTGAAAGGAATACGATAGAGAGGCCGAAAGTAGCTCTTGGTAAGTCATATAAATATAAATATGAAATAACAATTCATTTCAAACTTCTTTCATAATAATAGGTCTATTGTAATTCAGCATGACGAATAAACATCACTTTAGTAATTTCAGAGAATGTAAAGAACTGTCATTTGAGGGGGGGGGGGCAAATTTCTTGGATGTCAGATTATTTATTTGCAATGACGGACAGATAATTTATTTTTATTTCCAAGATATTGACATAATTGTACACTAGGGACAGATTATTTTTGTTTTTCTTCTCTGGGAAAAACTGTGTCAATGTGGTAAACATTAAAACTGTTGGCATGTCTGATGAAATTCACAAATCTTTATATTACTGCTGCTGTAATATAGTTGAATATTAGTAAGGTAGTGGGGCATTTTAGTGCAAGATTTTCTTGTAAAAAAGTGATTTGCCAGTCAACTAATATAATTAAATAAAATTTTAGATTTGCTGGTATACAGTGTATTTATTTAATCTCTTTTTTTCAGCCATCAAGATGTTTCTTTCTGGTTTATGACCATCCAACCCTGATGTAGTAAATCGCAGCACCTTTACATGTAACACTTCACCTATTTGGTGTCGCCATTTTGAGGAAATAGAGATGTTGGCCTCCGTTAATTGTGAAACCAGGCCAAGGAGTCTTGTTGGATAGCTAGAGATGAAGAATGTTTAACAGGACCAGTTGAAATGCATTTTTGACGCTGGATAGCAGACCAGGGGATCTTGCTGTCAGTATAATAGTGATAATGGTTAAGTCATCATTAAGATTTTGCTATGCCAAATTTAATAAGTGTTGAAAATTGGCAATTTACATGTATGAGGTGTTAACTTCTGCAAGTTATATATATATACATGTATGTAATGGTTTGGGTCGTGGATATCATACAGGGTAGCTCAGTCGGTATAGCACATATGACTAGTGATGCCGGGGTCTCGGGTTTGATTCCCGGTCAATCCATACATTTTCTCTTTTCCTGTTACATATACATGATGTTCACCGAAATTCTATATACATGTATAGGATATAAACACTGTGAGAAATATATTTGATGTTGACTGCAGATAATATTGTATTTGTTAAATTTTATATATTACAGATAAATTCATAAAGTACAGAGTACAATATATATGAATAAGAGGTTCAGACCATTCATGCTGATGATGATTCATCAACTGCAGCTCGACCGAAGAATGACTTTCCATCCCTTCCAAAAAGAGCAGGACAAGAATCGCTTGTTGAAAATGAACTAACATAGTCAATAGACTAAAGTTACTTTTCTTTGTCAGTTTTATATTATATGTATCTGTTGATTGAGTGTTACATCAAAAGTGGTAACTAATCACTCCACATATAGATTTTCCCCCAATTTTTCATGTATAATCTACCCTGTAAGTGTTATGTCTGGTGTGGTAATAGATCACCCCATATGCAGCCTTTTTTATTTTTCATGTTTAATGTACTATGTTATGTTTTGCTTATGTCAGTTGCAGTATTACGCTGCAGTAGATTATTCTTTTGTTAAAAAATGTATGCATAATTATATGTCGACTTGTGATGTCGGGTTCAATAATAGGCCACTCAACATATATTATGCATAATCTACCTTGTTAGTGTTTTTCAGGTTTGTTAATAAGCTGCTCCAGATATTTATGCTTTTTTTTTAACTTTTTATTTAAAATGTTCTCTGTCAAGTGTTATGTCCCGGTGCAGCATTGTCATTTTGTTTTTAATTTATATGTATAGTTAATGTATGCGTCAGGTCAAGGACAATTATTATCCTACCTGCTCATGGAATAAAATGACTTTTGATCAATTTGAAAGAGCACTTATCATAATTTTTCCAATGATATTCTTATTATTCTCTGAAATAGAATTTTGTGAATAGTGCAGTGTTATGTCAGATGGATTTTTAAAATTCTGTATGACCAAAATCTTTTTTTTTTTCGGACAAAGTAGCATACATTTGACATGTTAATAATAAGGGGGGTTTTGACATTGCAATGAAAAAATATGAGATACATAAAAGGGGGTATAAGACCATTTTTTAATTTTATAGTTAATTATCTCTCAATGTGGCCAAGATTTCTGAGTGAGACATTGTATTGAACATTTTTTTTCATACAATATATTTTTTTAGAAATCTATTAGAAAACATAGACTTTGTTTGCATGAAAGTAATCAAAAGGGTTCATGTTGAACATTTTTTATATGTTTTTTAATTACATTTTTGTTCAAGTATCTATTGTTGAGGTATAAATTTATATTTTAATATTTGTCATGGAATTTTCAAAAAAAAACAAGATGTGTTTGTGAAACACCATGCGCCCGGCGGCAACAGTTCAAACAATCTATTTTTAGCATATTGGTCACAGTCAAGGTCACAAGGTCATTGACCATGGTGTCATTTGAAAGAACATAATCGGTGGAGTATGCATCCCATCCCTGTCTCCTACGGTTCAAAAGTTATGGCAGAAAGTGTCAAAGCTATTTTTAGCATATAGGTCACAGTCAAGGTCACAAGATCAATGACGTTGTCGTTGTTTTTAAGGACTTTATTAGTTGAGTATGCATACCAAATATGAAGTCCCTATCTCCTATGGTTAAAAAGTTATGACAAACAGTGGAAGCTATTTTTAGCATAAAGGTCACAGTCAAGGTCACAAGATCATTGACCTTGATGTCATTTGAAAGGACTTTATTACTGAAGTATACATACCATATATGAAGTCCCTATCTCTTATTGTTCAAAAGTTATGGCGAAGGTTAAAGTTTACAACAGACAAAAAGACAAACAGACAGGACAAAAACAATATACGTCCGTGATCTATCGATCCGGGCGCATAAAAACAATTCATTTTTATACCCCCCGCTTGAAAAGCGGGAGGGTATATAGTGATCGGGATTTCCGTCCGTCTGTCTGTCTGTCCGTCCGTCCGTCTGTACGTCCGTCCGTCCGTCCGTCTGTTACGCCTTTTCTCTTATCCGCAACTCCTCTTATACCACTGAATGAAATTTGATTAAACTTTCACAGAATCTTTATTACATATTGCCGTTGTGCACCTCCTATTTTACATTTTTATTCGACACGTATTTTAGGTTTCCCAGAGCAAAACATAGACATTGCCATTTGTTGTTTACCTCTGACGTCACATAATAGAAGCTTCTGGATAACATTTCATAGGACGAGTTATTCCTCTTTACACATTACCGTAAAACAATATAAAGCAACACATCGACATTATGGGAGGCGGGGGGTATCATTTAGTGAGCTCATTGCTCACAGTACCTCTAGTTTATGGATTATTTCAATATTGGTTTAATTATAAGTTTTGTTGTGAGGGGAGATGGGAGGTAACTCTCTATGTTATTACTCTACATGTACAATGTATATTATTTCTAATTTAATAAAAATATTTTCTTTAGTCATTTATTAGAAATTGATTTTTACTAAGAAATTGATTTTTACTTCTGATTTATTTCTTCAGTTGGTTTTTCGAATTTGCTATGCAGTTTTTTGAATAGCCATTTTAATCATTATTCTTACATTCATGACGGAAACCAAAAGAGAGTGGGAGGGGTGGGGTAGTTGTGGACCATCTGGTACCTTTATTAGTCCTCAATGTGACCAAGATTTTTTGAGTGAAGAATTGTATTAGATGAATCTTTTATATAATGATAAAAAATTAAAATTCTATTGGACAGATTTTTTTTTTTTAGAATTTAAATGTGTCAAATTTGTATGCCTGAAAATGGTCAAACTTGTTAAATTTCAAATGTTTTACATGTTGTATTCCCTTAATTCATCTGTATTCCGTCAATCCATTGTTCAAATAAGTTTATAGTATCAATAATGTTTTAAAATAATTTTTAATATTGAATGTATACTTGCCAAAATTTCTAAGTCCCCATTTTATTATTTAAAGTTTTTTTTTTAAAAACTTAAAAATCAATTAAAAAGTTGCTTACAATTTAACCTTTATTTTTCAATGCCTACCTGTTACGGCCAAAAAAATTTGTAATCGAATATGTAATAACTTGACCGTGACCGATTTTGTAAAAAAGCATGAAGTGCGAGTTTCATATGTTTTCGGGTGTATCTAAGATTTATTTAAATTTACATGTGTTCTACATCTTTAGTTCTTCACGAAAAACAGAAAAAAGCTTGAATAAAATGCCGTGTATGTCCGTTCAACAATGTGCAGATGAAGTTGACAAGGTGAAAGCTAGTGAGAGTAGAGGAGAGTTCTATTTTCTTCCCCTGTATTTGTTTATTTTACTTAAAACCTTTAAAAAATATCGTCAGAAAGCTGAACAAAGCCTACTTGAATTCTTTTCAATCATTAAAATCGCTAAATTTTCAACAAATACCACTTAACAATCCTCGTGCTAATCGGGAAATTCACTGAAACCGGAACCAGAAGTGCCCATGGTCAAGGCGTATACATGAACTGCAACGACACATCAACATCTACTGCATAAGAATTACTCAATATTGTGGAAAGAACCTAACTGCGCTTGAAATTGCTCTGCACTTATTAAAAATTAATTGAGGTCTACTTAATTATCAAAATTATGAGAAACAAACTGGAAGAGTGGGGAAAATGTGTAAGGAGGCCTGGTGTACTATAGGCTTCATATTGTCGGGTATAAACAATTTCGGTAAGCTTCGATGTCATCCACATATCAACTCTATAGATCATGAGTGGGAAAAGATGGACCGGAAAGTGAGAGTTTGTCCAGCAGTAGAATCTAGCGTAACTATAGAGGACGACCTCGCAATCCATGGAATAACTCCATAAAGATTTTTTTTCTTGGATAATATGAACTGTTTGATAAGCAGTTGTCTTGCTCTTTATTCGTTTTAAAGAAGGATAAATGCAGTATTGAACGGTGCGAATTTTGAATTCTAGGGTGCCTTTACGTGTCTGCATTTTGTGTTAAAGCCTATAAATAAAATTAGATTCAGTGAAAAATAATTGCTTTGCTTCTTTTTATCCTGTATACTTATTAATTTATATTGTCTAAATGATTTAATATAAAAGCCGTGTGAAGCAAAAACTTACATGGGGACTTAGAAATTTTGATTAGTATATGTTGCATAATAAATTTGTTATGTGTAATATTTTTCTTGCATTATGATTTTTTGAGTGACTGGAAAGGGGAGGTAACTCAGTGCCCCCTGGTTCCGTAATTTACCCTCAATGCCATGTTTATATTTCGACTAAGTGTTCATTACACATCCCTTTACGCCATGTGAAAATTTCAACAAAGTCTTTTGACAGGTTTTTTGGGGGTCAGGTGTCTTTAGCTACCTTAAGTATTAAAAGTATATACAGGAAACATAAAAATCTTACCGACACACACTTTTAGATTACATATCATTGTCTCCATGGACATGCTCTGACCAACACACGGTTTACCACCATACAATGGAGCTGGTTCAGTACAAGTTCGGATTCTAACACGTGTCTTGGTTCCATTGTTACAAGAAGATGAACACTGACTCCAATCTCCAAATGGAACAAATGACGACCATTTGCCATTCACTAAAACGATACGATAGAATTTTTGTTAGCATACCTTTCACCCTTATCCCAATAAAAAGATATTTATCAACGTATTTTTTTCTATGAAAATCCTACCAGGGCACGGCTGAGAGTTGCATATCCTCTCCTTTTTATCGTCTTTCAGCCCTTCACAATTGTTTCCGCCATTTTGGGGTTCTGGATTATTACACACTCTTGTCCTAACACCTTGTTGAACTCCATTTCCACATGTCACAGAACAATCGCTCCAATCCTTATATGGACCGAACTCTGACCAACCACCATGCACTACAAGGATTATAAATTTTAGCTTGAATTATTTTATAGAAGAAAACATTTTTGTGCATAAAACATATAAATATAATTTTCAGGCACAATGATTGGAAGTTTTATGGAGATTTTTTATCTTATTAATTTTGAAAAATGTTATCAAAATTAGTTTCGCCTAAGATTACAAATCTCAGACAATACTCGGACATCACCTTTATGTCTCTAATAGTGTGATTACTCATGAAATGAATGTCCTCTTGATTTTTTTTCAATTAATTTGAGACGTTAGTGGAGGGTAACAAGTGCTGTCCTTGGCACTTAAGGCCTGTGAACAGTGAGGAGTTTTTTTTTCGTGTGATTACATTATACATTATTGACTTTTAATGAGGTCTACTCGTGACTAAACGTACCTGGTCAGGTATTGGTTGACCGAAGAAGAAGGCCAAGTTTAACTAATCTCTACCAGCCCATTATAATCACGACTATACTGAATTCAACAGTCAATAACCGTTTTATTAAATGATCAGGAATTTTACGACGCTTTTGACACTTTCGTTCTTGTCTCCATCAAATAGAAACACTCATAATAAAATGCAAAGTGTAACAACGCTTTTCACAGTTGTTATAATTCAACAGCTTAACAACTAGTACAGTACTATAGAATGGAAAACAATTTTATTAAACAATCAATACCAAACCATTTACTTTCAAAGGCGTTTAATCTCCGTGGTACTGGCGTCTGACATGTTTACATTCACACCGACACATGCTTCGAAACACGCAATCCGATAGGTCGAAAAAAACTCTTAGCAAATCTATTGATGGTCAATAGATAAAACCCGAATAAACCCCTCAAAACGTCATATGAATCCTTTATGAAGTACATCTCAGGTAAAGGCGTCTGGACTAATCAGAGGACACCAAATTTCCTGATTAAGTAATCATTTGCAACACGGGATCCTGAATAATACGATCCCGTCCGTACTAAGGGTCGGTAAAGGCCTCACACAGTGGATTCTAGCCCATGATTTTAGAATAATTTCTAAATCTGCGCCTTATTCGAAAACGCTCTACTAACAGATATACTCAGACTAATTCAATGAAACCAGTTTTTTTTTTATTATTCTTAAAACCAAACACAAAGTTTACGTAAGAAATCTCAAGAATATATAGACTGTTAATATAAGGATTGAATTGTATTTCATTATATTATCATAGAATATAAATTTATATAAGGGTTGGATTTTGTTTGATGCCGTCGGTCTTTTAACATACTTGGTCGTGTCGAAAAAGTAATATACTATGCTGAAGCGAGATGTTATTTTTAAGACAGGGTTAGATATACATGTGATATAAGAAACTGTAAAGTTGTTGTAATTTAAGATTAACACGCCTGTTTGATAGGGACTTATCAAAACACACTGATAGTAGAATAAGCATTTAAAAGTGTTACTTTACGATTAAAATGTAAAAATGCATGGGTTATATTTACACATATCTCTTGCAACGTTTCAAACTATTTTGTGTTCTCAATTTCTCTGATAAAAAATTTTATACAGTTTTCACATAATTATTTAAATTATAGAGCATTTTGACAACCAGAACAAAGCTTAATGCTGCATTTTCTTTGCTCTTGTAGGATAATCGAACCAACACAGTCTTTTCCCCCGTGCTGTGGTACTGGGTTGTTACATGTCCGATTTCGGGTTCGCTCCTGTATTCCATCACCACAGCTTGACGAGCATTGTGTCCATTCACTGTATGGGCCATAAAGAGACCATCCACCAGGAACTTGAATTATATCAAATAAAGATATGTAAATTATTTATCATTTTTCAAAGGTCAAATATTTTTAAAAATAAAATATTTTTTCAGGACAATTTTCAGCTACTTTTGTTCAACTAATTCAGTATCTTGTTCATTAAAAGAGCTATTGGGTATTAGGTATATTATTTATCATAAACTTTAACGTATTTATAAACATTCAAAATACTTTAACATCTTATAAAATTAATAAATGTACTGGAATGAAAATAAAAACAAACTATTCGAATATCTCGCAAAAATATTAAAAACTATCTAAAAAAGATAAATAAAATATACTGAATTTGCATAAGATAGGCGGGGGAATATCGAGTGTTTAAAAGTATTAAAATTCATATTTTTATATCTTAATTGACTTTAATAGGAAAAATCAGGATGGAGATATGTTCATTTGAAATCAAAGTAAACTTAAGAAATCACTGTCAAGTTCGTGAAGTATATTTAAACATCATTAATGGAAGGAAAACTGATTATAATTCCAATACTCTAAGTTTCGGTAACTACTGATGTTTTTATGTGCTTTGCAGATAAAAATGCTATAATAAACATTTTAAAAATGCCCTTTTCTACATGTATATCACATTCTCTATCGGCCCTGGGGCCTTTGGTTATCTGGCTGATATTGGTGTATCAGGCTGATACAAGATGTGATATAAGAAAAATAATATTTTAATTTCTATATAGTAAGGATATGGAAATAACGAACAGTATTCAATCTCAACGTCCATTAAACAAATATTCAAAACAAGAGCAGAGCAAACACGGACCTCTGAAACATCAGAGGTGCAAAATTGCTTTAGGCTGTCTGTTAACCACATTCATATGAACTTAATATAACCTGATAAAATACAGTATTGTGGTTACAACTGTTTTGACAAGATGCACAAAGACAAAAAAAAATACCAGTTGACAAGGTACATAACATGAACAATAGTTCCTGAAATTAATAGTGCTATTATACTTTTCATGATAAACAAATTCTTTAAAACAGCCAAGAAGTAATCAGTATTGAAAAAATGTCGTTATTAAAAAAAAATGATTCGATGCTACATATTTATTTATGCTCGTAGAGAGGCTGGTTGTGAAATTATAGAAGATATATATATCTGATAGTATATTTCTAAAAGTGTTTTCCTTGAATTTAAGGACCAACCTGATTTTATGTATTTAAATTTATATATTTGTACAAGGTCTTCCGAATATTAAATTAGTTTTCCTTGGTCAATGCACCGGCTAAAACTATTTTTAGTAACAGGTTCATTCTGTTACATGTAATGGTGGTATAGGAGAAATACTGGGAAAAGGCGCTATATTTTTGTACAATATTCTCGGATTGTGTATAATCTCAAAGTATTATATAACCAGAACAAAGCTTTATGCTGCATTTTCTTTGCTCTTGAAGAATACTCGAGCTCGAACCAACACATCCTTTCCCCCCGTTCTGTGGTTGAAATTAAGAACATACTTAATCACAATTGTTTAAATCTTAACAGCTAAATACAAATAAGCAATTCAATATTGCATAAATTAAACTGTGCGAGGGTTGTTGAAAATATATTAAGACATGGCGTATATTTCTTTTCTTTCCAACGCAGGGTTTCTGGAGAAAAAAAAGATTTATACGTAAGTGTTCTCACTTATGAAAAAAGTCATTGAGAGTGATCTCCAGTATGAAATTCTCTACGTGCTGAAAACAAATAAAGCATATTTTACAGACTGAGAAGTAAACAAACGCACGTGTGTTTTTTTATCGGATATATTCAACTCAACTGTTAGAAAAGAAAAGCAGGGATAAGTTTGTTTACATTGTGCTGAGGGGACAGGTAGTCAACAGGCCGTCATTTAGAATAGGTACATGAATGCTGGTAAGTGCAAAGATGTGAAAGAATTTTTGCTGAAAGTGGTGATAGGCTAGTAGACCGAATGAGAACTATTCTATAGGTTATGTGAATGAGACATCATTAAAAGTTACTATAAATCCTTACAAAAATGTTTTATGACAGTTTGCTTCCAATAAATTAAATTATAGACACAAACAACCAGTCTCTTGATCATAATGAATATTGATTAAATGTGAAGGTAAGTAATCAAAATTAAAGAACAGTGATAGTATTTCTGTGTTTTATTTCAATATTTTCATTTTCAACCAAAGTTTATGCATGTTATCGGGAATAAGGTTTCAACAATTATTTTGTGTATAAGCCGTATGAAGTAAATGGGTTTTGGAGAAAACGTATGGTTGAAAGTAATATAGGGCCATTTTATCAAAATTTTAGTTTCGGAAATGCATTGAAAATTGTAAAAACATAGATTTGACAAAATTTATAAAGGAAGGCTGGCGTGATGTTTGAAAAGGACATGAATTGGATATGATATTTTTGGTAACATTTAACCTGTTCAAAAAATCTTGAAAAATCCTATACGAAAACCAGAAACGTTGCAAATGTCCTTAAAGCTGAACACGACTCGTAAATAAGCATACGCCATTTTCGATAGCATTATCTACGATACATCAATACTAAGGTATAATCGTCGCATTCGTTACACCTGACTGCTTTATTGTCACGGGTATCGCCGTGGAATGGCGACCAGTGTTCGTGCTGGTTATCTTGCATTACTTTTTGCGTGGACCCTGAGGTCCACGCAGTAAATATATAAGTGAGGTTAAACCGGATGCCCTGGGCAAACGACAGGCTACACATGCGCGAGAATGCTAGAAAGTTCGTACCTTAGGTAATTTGCCCGCAGAAAAATTCGCCTTATTCAAATTTAAATATACCATTCATTGGCAAATCGCGCTTTTAATTCTCCATATCGCATTTACACATTTATTGGCAGATCCATTTTTCTTTCTTTTACACACACTTTTATATACAAACTAAACATTGATTCTATGGTACAAGAATTTTACGATGTTATGCAGTATAAAGATACATGTAACGTAACAATCTGAATGAAAAACATCATTCAACGAACAGAAATACCTTTCAAAAGATACAAGTTTTCGCCGGCATAAGTTTTGTGCATTAAGGCTCGCAAAATAATCTAGTTTTTCAGCAAACAAAATATCGTTTGATATAACGGTCTGCAGCAACGGCTTTTAATGTGGGGGGGGGGGTTCTGACAAAAAATCTGCGTACTACAGAGATGTGCTTCTCGTAAACCATCAGATCTCTACTTTTCATAATAAGTTTCTTCCATATAAACAGAACAGATGTCAAGTCCAATTCAGTATGAGTTACATGTACTCGTAGCAAAATACTTCGTAACCCCAGTTTCTAAACTGACAAAACTAAAGGTCGCTAATCGGAGATAAAATCTAACAATTTTGCTTTGATGCTACAATCAGTTTTAAGTAGGCAGATCATTGTAGAAAAATGGGTAATCAGAGATTGCAGAGCTCACCTAAACGAATGTTGTCTTTAAGTAAGGCAAAGTCACACAATTAACCAACAAAAAGTGTTCATCCAAAAATGCAAAATTTATGCAATTTTGATATTATACTTTGGAATAGACCTATATAAAAACTTCAAACTAGCTCTTCATCATGAAAACGTAATTAAAATCCAGCAACTGAAACAATTTTGAGAGTTTTTATCCCTTGATACATCATCTGTGCAAGTTTGAGTTATATAAGCCTTATAGTTTCTTGGTTATAGACCTGCGCCCAAAACTTTTACTACGTCCATTATCTGAAAATGTATGTCGAATTCAGCGTCTGAAGCAAGTCCATTAACGTGCTTCTTAAGATGATCAGCCATGCAAGTTTGCAAAACAAAGTTACTTGAAAATAAAACCTGTATAAAAAAAACTTTAACCTGTTCACTTCTCCAGAAAATATAGGTCAGATTCAGCATCTGAAGCAAGTCTGGTAGTACGATATATCATCCATGCAAGTTTGGTCAATATAGGGCTCATAGTACCTTGGAAATGAAACCTGCATCAAAAACTTAAACCAGTTCACTCAACTGGAAAATGCAGGTCAAATTCAGCATCCGAGGCAAATCTGGTAGAATGCATCCTTAGATGTATCATCCATGCAAATTTGTCATTAAATCGCTCATAGTAACTTGGAAATGAAACCTGCACCAAAAAATTTAACCTGTTCACTCAACCGAAAAATGTAGGTCAGATTCAGCATCTGAAGCTAGTCTGGTAGTATGCATCCTTAGATGTACCATCCATGCAAGTTTGGTAATCAAATGGCTCGAAGTAATTTAGAAATAAAACCTGCACCAAAAAATTTAACCTGTTAACTCAATTCAGCATCCGACGCAAGCCTGGTAGTATGCATCCTTAGATGTACCATCCACGCAAGCTTGGTCATTATAGGGTTCACAGTAACTTGGAAATGAAACCTTCATCAAAAATTTTACCCTCTTCATTCCTGGTAGTGTGCATTCTAAGATATACCATCCATGCAAGTTTGGTTAACATAGGACTTATAGTAACTCGGAAATGAGACCTACACCGAAAACTGCACCAAAAATGTTAACCTGCTCCAAAAACATTAACCTGGTCATTCCTTTGCTGAAATTGCAGCATCTGAAACTTTGACTGATACAATGAAACACACTAAAAAAACTTCCATGCATGTTTAATCAATATAGGACTTAGAAGTACCTTAAAAGAAAACTGCTCCAAAAAACCTAGCCTTAAGGTATGTCACTCGTCAGCTTTTTTGAAAAGTTCACGCAGATCATTTTGCTTCCAAACATTTTATTAAAATTCAACTTTTTTGATATATTTAAATTCAACAATGTTAATTTTTTAACATTCAACGAAAAAAAAAAACTGCTCAAAAAGCTACAAAGAAGCAAGCTTTATGAAGGACTATTTCTTGTGGAGGAAGGATATTTAGCAGAAAATTCTGCAAATCTGCACATTTATTGAATTTAATATCTGGGAATTTTAGCCTAACATACTTTTACTTGGTGAATATTTTTCGCTATGATGTTGCTAGGAATATTTAATATAGGTCTAAATTTATATTTTTAGAGCAAATTGTACATCTTCTTTCAACAAATTTTGCCAAAAGATGAAGATATGTCAAATAAATCTAGATAAAATTTATACCAATTTTCACTTGAAAATCACATATTTTGACCAAAATTTCAAAATTAACATCACTGACACCAACTTTTTCTTTTATTATTTTAAAGTACTCGATACTTGTGACTGATCAGCACTTAAGTCGTAAAAAGCGTGATTTAAGAAAAAGGTTTTATTGCCAAATTAGTTTTTAATAACCCAAATACGTTACTTTTAGTGCAAAAAGGTCACATAATAATTTGCGCGCATTAATTTGCAAGATTTGTTCTATGATAAATGTTATTCAAGTTATTTTACGTAAAATAAAATGATATTTAATGCCGTGGTTACTCTCATAAAATATGATAAAGCCTCATAAAGGTTAAACTAATTTTCAAAAGAGTTAAAGTTTAAGTACAAAAAAGGAAATCTTAATTGTACCGTAAATCAGTAAGATGCACAATGACCTCATATTTTCTCTGCGATTTTGAGTCACTCTATATGAGTACTTATCCAAAATATACTTCTCAAAAATCCTTGATTTGTCAAATTTCACCAGTAACATACCTTAACCCGGGAGGCTGACACCGACACCGACGGTATTACATAAGCTCCCCCAACTTCGTTGAGGTGAGCTAAAACGTGAACAAACCTACATGAATATTCCCTACCCTAGAAATTTTCTTAGTTGAATTTTCAGTTAGAAAAAACATGCAGATGGTCCACGTATTGCAGTCCTTTTTTAAAGGACAGCAACTTGTGTTTATGTTTTATCGCAGCTACAATGACTGGAACGTTATTGTTGACAAAGCAATCGTGTAGAATCGTTCGTGTATCGTGAGTGATCGTTCGTGTAACGTGCGAGATCATTCGTGTATCAGACTCAATCGTGTGCGTTTTAAATCCTGCAAGATCGTGCGTTTAGAATCGTGTTAATTACTTTTGTGAGTTTTTATCGGAATGTTATTTGCAAAATAAGCATTTCCCTGTTTTTCTAAATTTATTAATTAAAATCCAAATAAAATGAAAAAGTGCTATTTACATTATAGAATGCAGAACGAACTAATTATCGCCCGTAGACAAGCAATATAGTAAGTCGTACAATATTAAGTTCTAGTCAAATAGCGCGATCAATATTATGATAAACCGTACTTGGATCTCTAACGCCTTTTTGAAAAATCTGATTTTAATTATTATTTACTTTTTATTTTGGTCAAGATAATCTTGAAATCAGTTCATTGAAAATAAATATTTTTTTTACAAAGAAATAAACATTTCTCAATGCTTACATAACTAGTTAGTCGACAAATATACATGGACACGGCATGATTTTCGGGAGTTTTGATTATCTGTGTTTACCTCTTGAGCTTATTTGTAATTAATTAATTTTAAATTTCTGCAAATAAAAAAGTTGAATATTTGGCAAGTTTATCAGACATTGAATCAATGAAAACATAAGGGGAAATTTTGTAATTATAATTTAAGTCATTCCATGCTGCCATTTTTGTTCAATCGTATCCCCCTTTCTGCATATCATGATATCCAATTCAATCAAATTATACGACCCACATACATGTACATCGTCTAATAGAACGAACAAAATCCGTTTTCTTTGATCGGAAAATTACCTTAGAAAAAATAATTTTTAATCTAAAATATTAAGTCTTGCATATACATGTATTTAGTTACAAAAATATCAATTTCCGTCTTTTTTTCACGGTTTATGAAATAATATTGATAATTCTTTGAAATCTTAAATAAGTATTAACCGGTGTTTTGTTTTGAAAATATTGATTCCTAAATATTTTGAACTATTTTGAGTGAAGGAACGTGCGTTTGCGTTAATAATCGTGTAGGATCGTGTAACGTGTAGAATCGTGAACGTGAAAGATCGTTCATGTAACAGGTTTAATCGTGCGTTAATTGTGCGGAATCGTTCGTGTAAAGTGATCGTGCGTGAAAGTTGTCAACAATAACGTTCCAGCCACTGTACGTATATCTGTGTTTGTTGTATACTGCACTGACTTATACGACTATAATTGTCAACTTATTTGGTATCTTATTTTCCTGCATTAGAACGAAATATTACGTTATTTTCTCGCTACCGAGCACTGTACAGCATATGTCCGTCTTCACCGGTGTCGATTGATTACACTAAACAGTCACCCAATTCTGCCCTATTTATAGGGGTCTGCAGAGTAGCGAGACTCGGGAACAAAAATGGCGGACGGATTCCTCATACGAATCGTGTTCATCTTTAAGAACATGTTCCCGTAAAAAATGCAAATACCTTTGACAAACACTTGAAATTGACAAAAGCAATACTTATTTTACAAATATTGAATATTTTCTCTTTAATTAACGTCGATGGTATGCCTACCCGAAGCAGTCACGAAATAGGATATAGAATACTGTGGTTTCATCAATTCTCAGTGGTATCAACTTTTGTTGATTATGTAAAATATACGTTTTCAAGGTTTCGTAATTTCGTTGACAAAAACATTGTCTATACAAATGAAAAACACATTTCTTTATTCAACAAACATTAAATTTTGTTGATCTGCTCAACTACGAAATCCTCGAAAATTGGTGCTGAACGAACATTCATGATACAACCACTGTATATGTACCATCAACGTTCAAACTCTTCTTTTACCCCAAATATGAATGACCATTATTCAATTCATATATATATTATTTCAACCAGGGATGTCAAAATTGTCAATAATTGATATTCGAATATTCGATAGGAGTATTCGAATATATTCGAATATTCGATAAAATAAATACACCTTGCATTATAAAATACATATTTTCACCCTCTTGTCAAGCAGTATAGGTTTTTTGCTATTATTTTGGAATAAAACTCGTGTAGAGTTCGGTAAATGCACTGCAATTATATTTTTTTAAAAAAAAATATTGAATAGTATACATCCAAAATGTAATGATTGTTTTTTGAAAATTCAGAAGATTCTTTAGTATGTTCCAGATTAATTGATCGTCTTACTAAAGTCTACACTGATAACTCCTACAAATTTATACCAATCAGAACAGTTATCTAATGGTGAATTATTACAAGCAATTATTTTTTGCTTATTATAATTTCCTGATAATGATTTTTAATGATATTTACATAAACAAGGGGTCCGTGTGTTTACTGTAAAACTGTGTCCTTACAACAATACAAGCTGATTGTTAGTACTGGAAGCTATTATATCACTACTTAAGTGAACAAATAAATAAATTACTCTAATAGATACATTCTTCACACCTTTAAGGTAATCCAAGAGGAGTGATTTATAATTTTGTACAAACTTGATTCAATTTCTAATAAAACTTGCCAGGTTTTTTCTCTCTTTTTAAGGCTTGAATACTTAAAAACGAATATTCAAATCATTAATTTATATTCGAATATCAACTCATCGAATGAATATTCGAATATTCGAATATTCGTTGACATCCCTAATTTCAACTATTTTTAAACTTCATGTTTTGTAAGTTTGGTCGAATTTTGATCAGAAATACAAAGATCATATAAAAAATAAGGCACAATAAAGAAATCTGAGAATGACAATAGAGTGGATTTGGACGTCAAGCGGAGCAGCAGGAATGGCTAACATTTTGTGTAGCACTACAGAGAGCCCATCTCCAAACGTAACGACTTAATAAAAATAGTATATATATATTTTTTCTTAACAAGATTTAAATCGGAATAAAATCGAAACGTCCGGATCATCAATGATTACAGAATTATATGATATTATAATTACATTGATCTGCAATGCATGGGTCGGCATTTCATGATGCAAGGTAATCCTGTCCCATACATAAAGATTTTACAAAGATTTCGCAATAGCACATATGTTTTTTAAAGAATGTTCGAAAGAAGAAAAGGTTTGATTTTGATATATAATATGTGATAAAAAAAAAAAGAAGAGTGGACACTTCCCGATCATTTCATATGCGAAAACATGTCTCCCTGACGTGACGTTAAAATGACGTATCGATGCTGCTCCAAGTTCTTAGACATATACATGTATATAATAGTACCCGAACCTATCCAATTATACTAGAGATTACAAAGTCTGCATAATTGTTCGATTCGTTCTTTGTACAATGTTGAACAATTTTCATGAATTTATCTCTGATCCTCAAGGAGTTAAATCATATGTCTCAATAATTTCCGAACAGTCATCTTATATTTAACAATACTTACAGACTCTGTCCGCATTTCAAATTGTTTTAAGTATTTGTAATTTTATACCTGGACAACCTTGTCGTCTGCATTGCTTGTTTTCTGTTCTCGTGCTACGTCCATCACACGGTTTACCACCATAAAGAGGAGCCGGTTCAGTACATGTTCGAACTAGTACACGTGTTTGAACTCCACTGCTACATGATTCAGAACACTGGCTCCAGTCACCATATGGAACAAATTCTGACCACCCACCATTGACTTCACATCAAAAATGTTTACATATTTTTTTATGTGATAACAAACACTCATTTATAAAATTGAACATTGAAAATGAAAGCATTTGGTCATACCTGGGCAAGTATTCATATTACAAAATCTTTCATCAGTGTATGTATTTGCCCCAGTGCACTTTTGTCCTCCGTGTAGTGGTTTCGGATTATTACATTTTCTTTCCTTCTTTCGCCTTTCTATCCCAGTACCGCAGGTGACAGAGCACATTCCCCACTCGCTGTAAGGACCGAATTCTGACCATTTCCCATGAACTTCATGTATAATATGCATTTTCGTTTATTTAACAATTTGTTTGAATTATACTATTCATATAAATGTATTTTAAAGTAATACTCTGCACTTCTGATATATTTTACCTGGACAAGGCTGAGTATTACAGGATCGCGAGGCTCTTTGTCCATAAGTTGATCCTTCACAAGGTTTGCCATAAAGAGAAGGAGAAGGGTTTGTACAGGTGCGCTCTTCTTGCCCTGACTGTATACCACCTCCACAGGAAACTGTACAGGGTTGCCAGACAAAGGAAAACTGTGTCCAGCCTCCATCTCCTAAATGAAGTTTATATAAAACTTATTTCAAACTAATCTCCAACTGCTATTGTCATAACATGAATTTAATGTAAAAAAAACAAACAAATAACTGTATTTTTAACTATGATCTACATAAAAGAAATATTATAAATAGATGTTGCCCTATATGTTCATCTGGACAAAATGAAGATGATTATCATTTCTTTTTAGCCTGTAGAAATTATCCAAACGCTAGGAATAATCTTTTTAATCTTTTATTTTTGCTTGAAGAATTGGTTATTATTCATATAAATTTGTTATGATTTTTTATGTTTTTTTGCCTGTAGAAACTAATACATATATTTTGGCTGCTGAGTACAAATGTATTAATTAATCCTGAATATATGTAATTATCAAGTTACTGAACAAATATTGTGTATTTCAGCAGAATCACCAATTTAAATTTGTATTTTTATACATTATTTGTTTTTTTTTAATTACATGACATGCAATTATAGTTATATTTAAAAAGAGGAACTTGTAAGTTGTAAGAACGTTTTTTTCATCAATTAGATTTCAACAAGGTCCACACATCCAATTGTGCCTAACGTTAATTTAACATGAAAATAACATTAATTTAACGTTACATATTTAACAAGCTTAAACATATGCATGAATTTAACATTAAAAAATTAACGCTAAATTGACGTTATTTTCTTGTTAAATTAACGTTAAGTGTTAAATAAACTTCAAAAAGTTCAAACTTATTTCACATTAAAATCAACGTTACCTCATCAAGATACACCCACATTAAAAAAATTCATCTCAATATCTGCAAGCGTTTAGAAAAAAAGGTTCGGAAAACCAAGTGGGACAGACTGAGAAATAGACAGGGACATACAGACAGACAGAAAGACAGACGGAGGGACGGACAGACGCAGTGGTAACCTAGAGTCCCCTAAGGTTTCACCGTTTAATGACTAATAATCCACATAATAACGGTTTCACGGGTAGGGGACTAATAATCCACATAAAGACGGAAATTCAAAATGCCATAATTCTGCCAAAAATCAATGAAGCGATGTAAAATTCAAACTTGATCTGTAACTCATCAAGATACACTCACATACCAAAATTCAGCTCAATATCTGCAAACATTCAGAAAAAAAGGTGGAAAACCAGGTGGGACAGACTGACAGACAGACGGGGGACAGACAGACAGACAGACAGACGGTGGTACAGACTGACAGACAGCTAGATGGACGGGCAGACGCAGAGGAAACCTATAGTCCCTTCCAGTTTCACCAGTAGGGGATTAATAATTTATCTTTCAAGTTATATCCTGCAGTTCTGATAAAGCATTACCTGGACAAGGATGAGTATTACAGGATCGTGAAGCTTTTTGTCCATAAGTCGATCCTTCACAAGGTTTACCATCACCATAAGGAGAGGGGTTTGTACATGTGCGCCATTCTTGCCCTGACTGTATACCGCCTCCACATGTTACTGAACAGGGTTGCCAGACGTAGGAAAATGGTGTCCAGCCTCCATCAACTAAATGAAGTTGATATAAAATTTTTTAACCAACCCATCCTATTGCAATTGCTGTAACAGGAATTTAATGTGTAAAAAAACTAATAATTGTATTCTTTACTATGTTCTACATAAAAGAAATATTATCAATAGCTAATCCTTTATGTTCAAGTGGAAAATATGAAGATGTTCATTAATTCTTTTTTGCCTGTAGAAATTATCCTAATAATCTTTCAGAGACCAGAAGAGCTTATGCGATCGTAATGCGTCCGTCCGTCTGTCTGTCTGTCTGTCTGTAAACAATTTTTCAAAACGTTACTCCTTTTACAGTTTTGGTTTGATTTCAATGATACTTAGCACACAAGTAGACTACAGTAAGTTACATAAAACAGTGCATTGGATTTTGATTTCGATGAACGGTGTTGCCATGGTTACTAAAAATAGAATTTTCTGTGAAATTCCTTTTAAACACTATACCTCCTACAACTTTGGTCTGATTTCAATATTACTTGGAACACAAGTAGACTACAGTAAGATACATAAAATAGTGCATCGTGATTTGATTTCGATGAATGGTTTTGCCATTATTGCTAAATATAGAAATGTCTTTAAAATCCCTTTAAAACGCTACTCCTTCTACAGTTTTGGTCTGATGGCAATGGCTTCTTTTCCCATCCTTTGTTATAATTACAAGCCAGTAGAGCTAGAGTCTTGAGAGAGACTTCTGGTTTTCTTGACGAATTGGTCAATGTTTACAAATTTGTTATAATGTGGTGATGAAAATTTGATATACAGGTTAAAGAGAGGAACTATTTCAATAAAATATGTTCGGAACAAAACAATAAACTAAGCAAAATAAATATCTTCTTGGAAAGCAAAATTTAGGACAAGGCGTTTTTCTCGAAAAATTCTGGAGCACTTATAGATACAATTTTCAGTGAATGTTTATTTATCATATTTCTGTGTATCATATTTTTTGGAAATTATATAGACAAAAATAAATATTTTATAATGCTTGAATTAACACAGGGTGAGTTCCTACAGGGGACGGTCAGAAAACCAAGGTTTGAGTCGAGAAAACACAAGTGTTAATTCGAAATAAAAGTTTAAAATAAATTAGATTGGGTACAAGTTATCTTTCTTCGATTCCACAATCTATTTTGTCGTCTTTTCAAAAACTTCAAGGCATTTGTTTTTTTTTTTTTGGCAATTTCCCAAGCATTCGAAATGGGAAAGTGGTAATCACAACACACAAAAAATCGCAACGTTTGAGGACGTTACGGCGCTCCTGAGAGCAGTTCAGATTGTTTTAGATATTATGATGACACCTTAAGAGACTTTAAATGAATACGAGGGTTAATCCAAACGTTCATGTAATTTCTTTTCATAAATTTATTATGATGAGATAATCACGAACAATAGACATATCTGTAAAATAGAGGCAGAAAGTAATAGCATTTGACAAAATCATCAAGTCCTGATAACTTTTAAAGTCACACAAGGATTTTTTTAAATAGATAGTTGTATAAGCCGGGGGAGACTTTGACGTTATGTGAAAGTTTACATTTACGTTTTACATTAGCTCATGGCTGAAACCTTCTCAAGGTAGCCTCCGCTGATTTGCGCACTTTTCCTCTATCGTTTCACCAACATATCAAATGTTTCTGTGTACCAGTCAGTACCAATCTTCGAAACAATTCCATAGGTTGCAGCTTTTATGTCTTCAACGGTCTGATACCCGAAACTTCTATTTTTTTCTCTTTCTTCGGGAAAGACATGTAAGTCCATAGGTGCGATGTGTTGGCTGTAAGGGGGTGTTGCAATCTCTGAAAATCCAAAAGATCAATTTCAAGCTGTGTTTTCAGAGCTGTATGAGACGGAGCATTATCTTGATGAAGTATGAAATCCCCAATGTCTATATCTGTTCTCTTTTTTTTCTCAAAGCAAGTATGAGATGCGTCCTCAGGGTCTGGAAAGTATTAAAAAAACATCATTAATATGAAGTTAGAGTTCCGGTATCGTTACACATTTACGGAAGCTAAAAAAACACATTGTTATTTATCCTTTTAAATTCTTTTTCATTATCATCTTATTTATAATTAATCTTAATCTAGTGGTTTCATTGAATTAGACACTTAGACATTTATATTTGATTTAATACAAATACTATTTGATTTAAAATGAAATGAATTTAATCATTATTTATCATTAAACACAAACCGTACAGTAGTAGGCTGCATTGACAGATCGTCCTACCGGTACATAATGAATACTAATCATACGCCGATCCATAAAAAAGATAAACATGTGTTTCATACACGATCTTGCACACTTTGCTTTTATAGGGGATGGGGATTCTGGAGTTGTCCATACAAAGGACTGCCTCTTGAATTCTGGATCGAAGTGGAAGAGCCAAGTTTTATCCAATGTAACAATTCTATCAAGGAACATTTTGCCTTCACGTTAAAACCGTTTAGGAAACTCGGAGGAACATTGAACCTTGTTCTCCATCTCTGCTTAAGAAGCCTGGGAAACCATCTCGCACTTACTTTGTTCATGTTCATGCACTCTGTTGTTTTGTAGGACAACCAATTTTAGCAGCTATATCAAGCATGGTGCGTCGGCGGTCCACCCCCATTAACGCCCTAACTTTGTCAGCGAGGACAATGCGTCCTTCCACGTGCACCAGTGGTCAGACCTCTCATCCTCCTCCATCACAGAATTTCTTACTAACTATTAAATCTTGAGAAAATCGCACGTGTGATCCAGATTGGTTTCTGAACTATGTATTGAGACCCAAGTATGTGCATCAATGAAATTCCCAAATCTATTTCGGACTTATCCTTCTTTATTTTAAGCAATTAAATATGAACTAAAGAGTTGTTAAAATTACGGAACG